CAATCACAGATAAATATATCAAGTGATGTATATGCATACCTGCAGGCTACTAATAGCCAATATTAGAATCTCTTTCATCATAATCTCACCAATCAATTAAAAAATAATAAAACAATTTATTTATCCAATATTGTTTAGTATAGGAGAAATCATTATACTTTAATTCTGAAAGCTCTTAGGTCCTTTATAGAATTTTATTAATACACTGTCATGGCAACAGAAAACTATTATGCCTGCTGAGTTCTGACAAACACAGCACTGGTCCCTGCTCAAGGGACTCCATAGATCTAAAAATCTTAGTAACAATTTTCATAATGAAATTTGGGGCTAGCACACAGACAGAGATTAGCAGCTTAAGGTAGATATGTAAGGAAGAAACTGAAGGAGGAAAAGAGAAATTGAGGGAGGTATGAGTAAAATACAAGAATTAAGAGATGGAGTCAAGGGGAAAAATCAGGATCCTAAAGATCTGTGAAGCTCAATGCCTTGTAAACTTCTCTATTTTCCCCTCTAAGAAAACTCCAACTGAAGTTATCTTTAGCATAGCTGATATTTAATTCTTTTTTCTACCTTCATCTCTCCATCCACGGATGCTATACATGCCCAATAATGAATCTGAATTATTCTGTAAGGTAGCTTATAATGTTGCTCTGATCCAATAGAAAGCTAGTGTTATCTGTAAGTCAGTCAAACACAGGCGGTATATTCCACGGCATGACAGACTGTCCAAAAGTCTTAAATACCGCTTGGTGGACAACATAAAAGGCCAACTTTGAAGATGGGACATAATATTTTGTTTGGAAGCCTAGAATTGTAATATACTTCACTGTAAAAAATTGGTATATAAGATGACTCAGGTAAGAGAATTCTAGGTTGAAAGGGTTTACCAGATATTAAAACAAAAGAAGAAATGAAAAATGAAGTGGTTGAAATGAAATGGGTAGAAGGAATCTAAAACCAAACCAGGGATTTTATTGTGATGTTAAGAGATAACAGGAAACTATTGCTCTGAAAAGTGATCTCAACCAATATTGGGAACATGATTCTTGTGCTGTAAGAGACTTGAGTTTGGGAATCTGGCAGAGGTTGAGAGGAAGAATACATACTGGTTCAGAGTTCGTGCTTAGTCATTTCAAATATTTAGGTCTTGGCTCTGGTACTTATTAGTAGTAACAAATAAGCAAGTTAACTTAGCCTCACGGAACATCCGTTTTCTTACAAAGTCATAGGATTGTTATGAGGTTTGTAATTCCAAGCATACAAAGTACTTAGCACAGTGCCTAGATATAGTGATATAGCTCACCTATGGGTTTATTATGACATGGAGTGGGGAGGGCTATACCAATGCAAAACAAAGCAAGCAAGCATTTTTGAGACATAGTATGGAGAAGCAATTTAACCGCATAATAGTGAGGGGTTAGCTGGCTTAGGAATTAAGGGTCTGGGTTCTGAAACCAGAAAGCCTAACTCAGATTCCCATCTCTTCTACTTTTTCCTAGCTGTGAGAACCTTTCTGTGACTAAGTTTCCTTATCAGTTATTTGAGGGTTAATAATAGTACCTACACCATAGGGGTTGCAAGAACAGTGATATTACAAATTATATTTTATAAAAATAATTATTTAAAAATTACTCATAATTTTTCTATGAGAAACACAATAACCCTGTTTTGCAGAGGGGAAAACAGAATCACATGACTTTTCGCCAAAGACCACAGTATTTAAGTAGTAGATCAGACTCATCCAAGTCTTTTGATTTATAATATGGTATATTGTTTCCTTTACAATATAGTTTTTCAAGGTGTAGGACTCATTTTAGGAAGGGATGATTTTAAATGATCTATAAAAATGGCAGTAAGTAGCACTGAATTACATAGTACGTTAGACTTTACTAGTACCGACCAACATCCTGGCCTCCATTCCTTTCTAGGCAGAGGGGTGACTATAACTGCCCTGTGAGGTTTAGGAAGAACTATGTAACTAGTTTTGGTTTATGAAAATAAAAGCAGAGGTGGCTTAGCCCCTATATGATTCTACAGTCTGTCTCTTCCTCTGGCACAAAAATCACAGAGAGGTCTCATTTGAGATGGTGGAGATACAAAATTGAAGCAGCCTGTATTGCTGTGTTAGTGCATGAAGGGCAGCTGTCCTGGAGAGTTGCCCAGGCTTGCTGGGTGAACTAGAAATAGACCTTTGTTGTGTTCTGCCACTGAGATTTTTAAGGTTGGTTGTTATGCTAGCAAAGTCTAGTCTATTTTGACTAATGAAATAGCTACAATGTTATTCCCTTTTCAATTATCTTTCAATCCTTCTGAATATATCAAGAAGAGAATTTTAATGTGGTGCTAATAGTAGCTAATCTTCCTTTTTCACAAAAAAGGAGTTTAGCTCACAACCATTTGAAGGTAAAGTATTTAGCTAGAATTAATGTTCTAGTTAATCTTCTAGATTGTGATATGATTTTCCAATTTGACTAGTAATATAAATTTATTTAAATAGAAACATAAAATTTAAAGAAAATATTAGGTAAAAAAAAATATGATTATAAGAAAGTATGGCAGCCCTGGCTGGTTTGGCTCAGTGGTTAGAGCATTGACCTGTGGTCCCGAGAGACCTGGGTTCGGTTTCCGCTAAGGGCATGTAACTCGGTTGCAGTTTGTCCCCAGCCCTGGTTGGGTTGTGCAGGTGGCAGCCATTCGATGTGTCCCTTTCACGTCGATGTTTCTCTCTCTCTCTCCTCACCCCTCCCTTTCCACTCTATCTGAATGAAAAAAAGAAAGAAAAGAAAGAAAAAGGAAGAAAGGAAAGAAGGAAGGGAGGGAGGGAGGGAAAGTCCTCAGGTGAGGATAAAAAAAAAAAAAAGTACAGCAAAACTCATGAAGCTGCTATGCCAATGAATGAAATCTGAGATACAGTGCTGTGCACCAAGCTATATCTCACTGTGTCCTGTCCATTCTGTGTAGAATTGTCAGCAAAGCATTTAGGTAACTGTATTTAAATTTGTATCAAGTATAAAGAGATAAAGCTGATAAAATATTCTGAGATAGTAAGAACAATCTATTATAATCATAATTGGGATAATGGCTAGGTATTAAAGAGAATCAGGCCCTGGCCGGTTTGGCTCAGGGGTTGGAGCATTGACATGCGGACCAGAGAGTCCCGGGTTTGGTTCCTACTAGGGGCACGTACCCCCCCCCACCCAACAAAAAGACAATCAGGAGATAACAGGTGAAAAGAAGAAAATAAAATGAGTTTTAAAAAAGACTTCTCACTTAAAGTGACTTATGGTTATTTGAGCAATGTAGCAATTTCATTAGATAATTAGAGCAATATCCTCTTAAATTTTTTCCATCTTTTCAAGAGAGGCAATCCAGTTCTGCATACTTATAATAGCCACTGACAGCACAATCAGAGGTCAAAGTGAAGAAAGGAAAAGCACAGAGTGGATCAGTTGTACATAACAGTACACAATCTCTGAAAAACTTATTTCTGTAGACTAGTATGTGGATATAGAAAAGTTTTAGTTACTTTGTTAGAGTGAATCTTGAGGTCATTCTCAGATATGAATTGGAGATTAGTAAATTCTAACACTCACAGTTTCTAAATTGTGCTACCACCCCTCAAAATATGTGAAGGGTCTCATCAAACTCACTCAACAAATTAGGCATAGAAAGAAAAGCTTTGGAAAAATTTGCCTCTGTATATGAAGAAAGAGAAAAGAAAAGATAGATAAGATGAAGAAGAAGATAAAGTATTTCATTTCAGGGAGACAGAAGGAAAAATACAGGTTGCAAGGGATACAGGGACAGGGTGTGGGAATACATAGATTAAAGCAGCTGTTCTAATAGTTCAAGCAGAACAAGAGCTAGCTAGCACCAGAGCCAAAAGAAAGAGAGCAGCGTTTTCATTTGAATGAACTGGTGTACATACAAACTGGTTGAGAAAGACTTAAGTTTCTTAAGCTCACTTTTGGACTTAAATATTTGTACAAATTATGGTCCTCCCCCATAAACATCACTACTGTCATGTTTCCTTTTCGTATTAGGGTAGACCAAGAGCTAAAACAAACAACTCTAAAATCTCAGTGGCTTAATACAATAGACGAGAGTTCTCACTCAATATGAGTGTTCAGTAGGAAACTCCTTATTTTAAAGTCTCAGAGTTCTCTGGTGGATTCTCTGCATCAAGCCAGAGGACAACGGGAAAAAGGAGAAACTGCATATGTGAAGTTTTTATAGCCTAGTCTGGAATTGGTATATATTATTTCTACTCATATTATTCAAAATTCAATCACATGACACACTTATCTGCAAGGAATGCCGGGATATATAGTTGATCTGTATGCCCATGAGAAAAGGAGAAAAGGTTTTGGTGAATGCATAGTATTCTTTGCCATATTCTACATAATAGCTTGGAAATTTGTAAGACTGAGATGCAGTACTAATAAAGCAGCACAGTCTATATAAATTTAACCTTTCTTTCTTTCTTTTTTTAATCCTCACCCGAGGATATTTTTCCATTTTTTGTACAGATAGAGTGGGAGGGAGAGAAAGGAAGGGAGAGAAAGAAACATCGACGTGAAGGGACACATCGAGTGGCTGCCACCTGCACAACCAACCAGGGCCGGGGACAAACTGCAACCGAAGTACGTGCCCTTAGCGGGAACCGAACCCGGGTCTCTCCAGACCGCAGGCTGACGCTCTAACCACTGAGCCAAACTTGCCAGGGCTTAACCTTTCTTTTAAATGAGGCAAACATACATCATTAAAAATTAGTATCAGCCTAAATTTATTTTTTCATTTAAATATAATATCTCTTATTATGCTTTATAGATTAATTATATCTATAAATTAAAACAAATATCATGCTTTTAGATTATAGTACCTAGAATAGTGTCTGGCATATGGTAGCTGGTTAATAATTATTTGCAAATGAAACAGTAAAAAAATCAAAATAAAGACAGGCGTTACAAATAAAGTTTTAATAAAACAAATGTTGTAGAAAGCACTCAGCAGCATATATACTAAAACTGGAAATACAAAGAAGATAAGCATGGCCCCTGCCCAAGGATGACACACAAATTCGTAAAAAGCACTCATGGATAACAAAAATCCTAATCACACTATAAATACCCTCACTGGTTTAGACTTTCATAAACAAACATTATATAAATCATCATTATTATAATCAGACTATAATCATTTAATTTCTAGCTTTAATGACTGGATTATTTTCATTAAAAATTTTGACCAAAATATACAAATAAGGATATAGTTGAGTTACAAACGAAACACTAGAAAAGACACTTTGGCTGCATCCAAGCACCTCCACATTCAACAATATTTGAAGGATGCATTAACAAAAGAAGTCAACATCTCTTTATTCTTGACTTTCACCAGGAAGGCGAGGCAGCTGTTTTCTGACCCTCAAAGGCATATAATTCACTAGCGGATCAGTCTAATCCTTTTGAGCCTTTTTAAAGCTTTGTTTAGGCAGGTGTGAGGTAACTTTTTAACTCTAAGGCTAGTTTAATTTTGCCACCAAAATGTGTCCTTTCTTAGATTTCTACTGAATGCTCATAATGCTTTTATTTTTATTATTTTTATTTTTTTAAGTCAAATGTTTGACTTTTTTTTTTAACCTTTATTGTTGAATGTATTACAGATGTTCCTCATGTTTCCCCCATTGACCCCCTCCTCCCCACTACAGCCCCCCTCCCGCCTTTTCCCACACTGTTGTCTCTGTCTATTGGTTATGCATATAAGTTCTTTGGTTTATTTCTTCCCACCCCACAACCCCTTTCCCTTTGAGGTTTGTCAGTCTAGCAATGAATTTGTACTTATTAATCCCTTCACCTTTTTCACCCATTCCCCCAACCCCCCTCCCATCTGGCAACCAACAAAATGTTCTCTGTATTTATGAGAATGTTTCTGTTCTACCTGTTCATTTTGTTTGCAGATGCCATTGTCGATAGATATGTATTCATTGCCATTTTGTTTGTTCATATATTTTATCTTTTTCTTCAAAAAGACCCTTCATCATTTCATATAATAATGTTTTGGGGGTGATGAACTCCTTTAACTTTTTCTTGTCTGGGAAACTCTTTATATGGCCATTGATTCTAAATGACAGCTTTGCAGGATAGAGTAATCCTGGTTGTAGGTTCTTGCTTTTCATCACTCTGAATATTTCTTGCCACTCCCTTCTGGCCTGCAAAGTTTCTTTTGAGAAATCAGCTGACAGTCTTATGGGAACTCCTTTGTAGGTGACTAACTATTTTTCTCTTGCTGCTTTTAAGATTCTCTCTTTGTCTTGAACCTTTTGCATTTTGATGATGTGCCTTGGTGTGGGCCTCTTGGGGTTCATCTTGTTTGGGACTCTCTGTGCTTCCTGGACTTGTATGTCTGTTTCCTTCACCAAGTTAGGAAAGTTTTCTGCCATTATTGTTTCAAACAGGTTTTCAATTTCTTGTTCTCTGTCTTCTCCTTCTGGCACCCCTGAGATACAAATGTTGGCATGCTTGAAGTTGTCCCAGAGGCTCCTTACACTATCCTCATTTTTTTGGATTCTTTTTTCTTTTTGCTGTCCTGATTGGGCGTTTTTTGCTTCCTTATATTCCAAATCGATGGTTTGCTTCTTGGATTTATGTACTCTATTATTGAATCTGTGTAAATTATTCTTTATTTCAGTTAATGCCTCCTTCATTTCTGACTGTGCATCCATCATTTCTGACTGGTCCTTTTTTATGCTCCTGAGGCCCTCACTAAGTTCAATGAACATCCTTATAAGCAGTATTGTGAACTCAGCATCTGTTAGGTTGCTTATCTCCATTCCGCTTAGTTCTTTTCTTGGGGTTTTGTTCTGTTCTTTCATTTGGGACCTGTTTCTTTGTCTCCTCAATTTGGCTGCCTCCCTGTGTTTGTTTCTGTGTATTACTTAATGAGAGATATGGGGCTATCTGAGACCAGGTGCTGCTTGTTTGAAAGAATTTAGGAAAACCTGAAGCAGGATCCAAGACAGGCCAATCCTATGGTTAAGCAACTGGCAACAGTTTGGGTGGGCCTGAAAGTTGGGTGTGGCGGGGCCTCAGGGAATCACTAGGGCGGGGCTACCAGTGTGAGCCAGGTTGCTGGAGTCCCAGATATGGCGACTATCTGCTGCTCCAGGGAAGGGCTCACCAAAGGAACAAAGGCCTCTGACAGCACGTTTGTCCCGGAGAAAGCCCCCTCTCCAGCCCTCGCTTCAATGCCAAACAGCTCAGTTCTTCCCTGTATGTCTCTGGTGCCTCTCAAGCTGCCTCCCCTCCAAGCTTAGAGGGAGTGAGTATGATAAGTCCATGCCCGGACCCTTTAAGGAGCTGCCTGGGGCTCCAGCTGCCTCAGCCTCCCTGAGCCTCAGTTCCTGCTGGTTTTTCCAGCCAGAAGTTATGGGGACTTCTCTTCCTGGCACTGGAACCCTGAGCAGGGCGTCTGGTGTGGGACGGGGACCCCTTAGTCCTCAGAGAGGACCTTCCCAGCTGAGGTGTCCTCCTGATTTTATCAGCCACACGTGGGTGTGGGACCAGCCCGTCAGCCTCTGCCCCTCCTACCAGTCTCAATGTGGCTGCTGCTTTAATTCCGTATTTGTAGGACTTCCATTCAGCTTGATCTCAGGCGGTTTTGAATGATGGTTGTTCTGTAGTTTAGTTGTAACTTTGATGTGGTTGTGGGAGGACGCGACACTGTGTTTACCTACGCCGCCATCTTGACTGGAAGTCTGAATGCTCTTAATGCTTTTAATAAGATCTCTACACACTCTGGCTGGTCAAAATGGAAAAAAACACACACACACACACACACATAAAAAACCTCCCATTCCTGTGGGAACTCTAGGAATTATTCAGTTTAGAGCTTCCTGGTATTTATTTTTCCTCTATCCTCATGGAATCTCACCTCACCTATGTGCAGCTCATTAAGTTAAAGACTCAAAAAGACCCCTATGCAGAATTTTGTAGTTCTGTTTCTGCTTAGCTGTCTATTCTTCAGTACTCATTCCAGTTGCCTTGGCTTCCTCAATTTCTGATCTCTGTTTCCTCAGATCAACAAGACTGTCATTCTGAGTTCTCCACCATCAGGAGAATACCTTTAGGCAAAAAGTCAGGGTTCACCTAGTTCCCCCCCCCATCCTTTCTCTCAGGGATCTCATTACCATGCTGCCAAATGTCCAGTCTCTGAAAACAGTTGTTTCTATTGGAAGGCAGGTCCAATACTAGTCACTCCATCATAGTGTGAAGAAGTATCTCACTGTTTTAATTTGCCTTTTCCAAATGTTTACTATTCACAACATGGCTGACAAAAGGCAGAACCTTTGTCTTACATATTGATGTAGCCATAGTGATGCTTATAATAGTGTGGACCACAGAGCAAAGTACTATTATTTGTTAAATAAATTAACTATTTATGTTTATCTATATATTTTTGGAGGTATAAGTAATCTGTTTATGTCTTTCATACACTTAGTGGTTAAAGGCCTAATAAAATTGGTGATTCAAAGCCATATCCAAAGTAACTCAAGAGTAAATCTGTTCCTTCCATAAAAGTTCTATTTCCATGCAATTATGCTGTATTACACTAAAGGGTATACTAGATACATTGTTATAAAGATAGACGATACAAGCAATAAATATGGAAACCAACATAGTGCTCCAAAGAAAGAGTTACTGTATAAAAAATTATTGCAATAACTTTTATAACATTCCTACAAGACAATTTTGGTGTTTTCTGGTCTATTGAATAAATTAAATAGAAAATGCCATTTCAAGAAGAAATTGAGATTTAAATTTTTGTTTACCTATATATGTTATTACAAAGAAAAAAGAAAATTGTAACATACAACTCACTGTTATACATTTCATCTCTTTATAGCAGTGAATGGCAAAATTCAGGACGTATGAGATAAAATAAGGCAGTGTAGATTTCAATTATCTTTGCAGATACAAATCAATAATCTGAGTTCAGAAAAGCCTTTTAAATATGCTAACAATACTCAAATGCCAATTAGTTTAATGAAAGTAGATTTCATTTCCACACATCTGAAGAAGCTCTATGGTTTTTAATATAAAAAGGAGTTCCAAATTTAAAAATGTAAAAATTTTGGGTATTTTGGCTTATGTGTGATTATTGGTTTACGAATATAAACAATTCTATATATCTGTCAGGCAAACTTCTGAGTTTAAAGTACCTATGTAATATAACTACTTTTAAATTTAAAATATTACATAAACATGTTTCATCATAGAAGTTAGAAAACACAGGAAGCAAATATAATGCAATTGAAAATTATCAGAATCCTACCTCTGCTAAAGTTTCAGAGCACATGGCCTTTTCTATTATTTTATATAAAATATTAATGCCAACAAAAGCAGCTAAAATGACGAATGCCATAGCTTTCAAAAGGAATGCTTAGACCTTAAAAGTGGCAAGTTTATTCACTGAACAACATTTTACATGAAGTAGACCATATGATGCCTGAGAAGAGTTGTATCTCTAATATGAAACTGAATATTAGCCAGTTTTTTACTAGTTAAATGACTCTCACCTCCTCAAAATATAAAATGTCTCAAACAAATTTTATATATGTAACTTATAAAAAGATAACATATTTACATATGTAATTTATGCAATCATATGGAGAGGACATAATATGACTGTAAAAATGAAGCTAAATGTACTTGTAAATGTTCTAAAAATTAGTTAATATATTCCCATTTCTCTGAAATTAAAGAAAAAAATTTTATCTAGAACCTTTAAACAGAAAATATTATATATGTAATTTATATCTTCTCATCATATGCCTATGAGAAAGTAGAGGGAAATAAATAGAAGGATAAAGAGATGAAGATCGTGCTTAAAAGAAACGACTCTAGCCCTGGCCGGTTTGGCTCAGCGGTTGGAGCGTCGGCCTGTGGTACAGAGAGACCCGGGTTCGGTTCCCGCTAAGGGCATGTACCTCGGTTGCAGTTTGTCCCCGGCCCTGGTTGGTCGTGCGGGTGGCAGCCACTCGATGTGTCCCTTTCACATCGATGTTTCTCTCTCTCTCTCTCCCTCTCCCTCTCTCTCCCTCCCG